CCCGTGGTCAAAGGCGTCGGCAGCCAGAGCAGACCCAAAATCCCTGTGTTTCCGGCTCTTTCACAAACACCGAGCTATACGCTGCCTCCCGCACGTATTCATCCCGCGTTTGGGGTGCACGTTCCGGGGTAGCAGCCAGCGTGAGCATCGCAGGGTTAAGAGAAATGAGTGCTGTAAAGGGGGATCCCTGGGAGTGTCCAAGGCCAGGAGCAACCTGGTCTATGGAAGGTGTCCCTGCCCATGGCGGGGGGTGGCACTGGATGATGTTTAAGGTCCCTTCCCACCCAAACCGTTCCATGATTCCACGTGTGTCCTCTCACTGACAGCTGATGAGAAAAGCTTCCTCAACCTTTTCCCTAAGTTTCCAGGAAAGCGTCTCCCATACCTTGGTTTTTCGGAATAGTTATGCTCAAACTGGATCCACTCGTTCTTGCTGATACAGTAGATCCAAGCGTCACCTGAAAAGAAAGGAAAACCCCCAAGGCCAACAGTGTCCGGTCAGTCCTTTCAGGTCGGCTGCGGCACGCGTGCTGCGGGCTGACCCGGCCCGGCTTGCTCTCAGAGCAGTCACCGGTTTGAGGAGAAACCCCGGGCTGTCTGGGAGCAGGCGTGCAGCAACCGTTTGTGGGAGCCCAGCCGGACAGGAAGGAGGGAGCCCTGTAAGCTCTTGCTAACTGCAATCTGCATTACAAATTTTTTTTTACAAACTGCATTACAAAATTGCAGTTTTTAGAACAGATTAATATCTATATTGGCAGCCCAGAAAGTCAACCGTATCCTGGGCTGTATCCGGAGAGGTGTGGCCAGCAGGGCGAGGGAGGGGATTCTGCCCCTGTACTCTGCTCTGGTGAGACCCCACCTGGAGTGCTGCGTCCAGCTGTGGAGCCCTCAGCATCAGAAGGATATTGACCACTTGGAGCGAGTCCAGAGGAGGCCACGAAGATGCTCAGAGGGCTGGAGCACCTCTGCTATGACGAAAGGCTGCGAGAACTGGGCTTGTTCAGCCTGGAGAAGAGGAGGCTCCGAGGAGACCTCATTGCAGCTTTCCAGTATCTGAAGGGGCTACAAGGGAGAGGGCTACAAGGGAGGGCTACAAGGACTTTTTACAAGAGCCTGTAGTGACAGGACAAGGGGTAATGCGTATAAATTGAAATCAGGGAGGTTTAGATTAGATATCAGGAAGAAATTCTTCCCGGAGAGGGTGGGGAGGCACTGGGACAGGTTGCCCAGAGAAGCTGTGGATGCCCCATCGCTGGATGTCTTCAAGGCCAGGCTGGATGAGGCTTTGAGCAACCTGGTCTAGTGCAAGGTGTCCCTGCCCATGGCAGGGGGGTTGGAACTAGATGATCTTTAAGGTCCTTCCAACCCAAACCATTCTATGATTCTATAAGTAGGGAGTGTCTCAGCACACTCGGCGGCTCCTGCTCTGGGAAAATCAGCTGTTGGCCACAAGGAGCGGGATCACAAGGAATTCAGAGAATTTAAGGCGAGGAGACAAAATCCTTTCGGAAGGACTTACTTAACGGCTGCTTGTCCGTGGTGAATCCCCCGAAGAGAAAGAGGTGATCCGAGGAAATGGGCGTTAAAGAATGCCAGGACCGGCCGACTGGGCAGACGCCTTGTGCGACTCTGCGTTTCAACAAAAGCACCGCTAGATCACAGCCGTGCTGCTGCCGCTCCTTTCTGCTCCGGTGACTTTCCAGGCGCTGGAAGGATGCGGCTGCGCGCTGCACAGAGCTCACGGCCCCGCAGCCCGTTTAATTTCGTCAGAGGCAGCGAAAGGGTGTTACTCGTATCAATGCTGCAGAAAGCCTGCCAGCAGGTCAGGAGCTGAGCGGGAATTTACCAACTTTTGGCTCGTTAAGGATTAAAAGTGCATAAAACCAGCACCTTCCTACTGCTTTACAAAGAGGAGAACTCAAGCTTTAGTACCTACATTTCGTTCCACTCCCACGTATCCAGGTTCAGGTAGTAAAGGTCGTTCATTCTGGACTCCTACAACAAAGCAGACCACGGCTGAAACGCTGCCTTCAGGTTTCAGTGACCCCACTCAACCGGGCTGGGGCTTACTCTGTATCGGCCACCGAAGACGTAGCCTCTGCTCCCGACCGTAGCGCAGGCGTGAGCTGCTCGCGGTGACGGAGTTTTACCCTGGGAAGAGAAAACCTGAAGTAAGAAGGTTGTTGGAAGGAGTTAGCGAATCAAACGTGCCGCTCCACCGGAAACCCGCAGCTGAGGAGGCGGAGAGGAGCTGGGCGGAAGATGCCCCTCGCACCGGCGGCCACTGGGCAGCGGCAGACTCGGGGGAGGGGGCCAGGGCTCCTCCGGATGTGGCACTCGAGGCAAGCAAAGGCCTCACAGGTCCACACATCAGTCACCCGAGGAGATGAAAGGCTGAACTCAAGTCAGATTTAAGGCCAACGAGGAGCAGAGAGTGAAAAAACATCCAGTAAGGCATTCTGGGTGCAGAAACTTGGCTTTTTTTGATGGATGGAAGATCAGAAGACTCATTGAAAATGGGATTTCTTTTCCCCAACCAAATGTGAAGGTGTAAATTCTGCTGTTAGCAGAGGGTTCAGCCACAGAAGACCTCGGTGTAAATGAGACAATACCATCATCAATCTCTGAATCAGACAATACCATCCTAATCCCTGAACAGTATTTCTCCTGAATTACTCCTCCGAGATCTCTCTTGGTGAGAAAGCGATTCTCTGGTAACCTGAATAAAGAACTCCTCTCTCAAAGTCCCTCTGATTCTGTGGCAGCATCACTCCACCTGCCTGTTCCTGAATGCTTCCGGAACACCTCAGCTGGCCGACATCTGCCAGTACGGAGCGTTTCCTTTCGCTCCGACCACAGGTCAGCACCCAGGGGAAGCGCCCCGAGGCACCGCACCGCAGCGAGGATGGCAGGAAAGCAGGAAAGCACCGCGAGCACAGTGCCACCGGAGCAGGGAAGCGAGCCCGTCAGCGGGAAAAAAGAGGGAGAGGGAAAGACAGATCAAAGGAACAGGGACGTTTCCTGGTTCGGGAGAGGAGAGGACCTAAAGGAATGGTTTAAATGAACAGGCAGCAGGTAATTTTTATTTTGGGGGATGTTTCCGAGGTGACTTCTACCCGCAGCGTTTCAACCCCGCTCCTCAGAGTCCTTCCCCTAGGAGCACGCTGCAGTAAGCTGCAAACCCCTCTCGGAGCGAGGAGAGAAGGAACAGTCGCACACCGCTGGCAGGAGGGCGAGGCGCAGGGAATTAAGACACAATTTCTCGTGGAGGAAGCGCGAGAAGGGAAGAGAGCCCTGGTCACAGCTCGAGCTCCTGCCTGCGGCGGGATCAGACCGACCAGGAGAGCAGCACCCAGCAGTGCCTCCCGCCCACAAGGATGGGGACACGTAAACAAGGCTGCAGGGTGGAGCAGGAAAGTAGAAAACTGTATTTTGGGTGAAATTCCACGCTTCTGGCTCGCAAATACCTAACCACATCATCTAAAATAATGCCAGGGAGATAGAGACTGGAGACGGGAGCCCCCCAGGAGGTAAGAGAGGTTCTTAACTGAGCGGGCAGGCGGAATGTCTCCGGCCCGAAGCCGCTGCTGCGGGGACAGGCCGCTGC